CGAGCTGGGGCCCGGGCCACAAGGGGAGCCGGCGGGGTGACACTCCTCAGGGAAAGGGGAGCGAGGGAGGGGAATGGCCGAGACTGGCCCAGCCGTGGGAGGAGAAATCTCCGGGAAGAAGCCGAAGTGGGAAGTTGTCTGGGGGAAGGAAGGGTCCCCAAGGCGGCGAGTTAAGGCCGGGAAAGGGGAGGGAGGGAGGGGAAGGGGGGAGACTGGCCCAGCCGTGGGAGGAGAAATCTCCGGGAAGAAGCCGAAGTGGGAAGTTGTCTGGGGGAAGGAAGGGTCCCCAAGGCGGCGAGTTAAGGCCCCCGGCCTGGGTGACAGAACCCAGCACGGCGGTGGGGCAGGGGCCGCCCACGCCAGGGGAGACACGCGGGGCTGCGATTGCACCTTCCAGGGGTCATTGATCAGGGGCAGCGCTCAGGCTCTCCTGGGCAGGGCGCTCGGGGGACGGCTGGAAGGGAGGGAGGCTTGTTAAGTCTGCGTCCGGAGGACCAGAGCACAGGCCCCCTTAGACAGGGGGCGAGGAATCTTTTTTGGGTCTGGGGCCCCGACCCACAAAAAAATCCGTTGGGGGCTGCACACACGTGAGAAGCACGGGAAAACACCCTCACTGTGGCCCCCCCCGAGGAGAAAGACCCTCCCCACATTCCCCTGCACACCGGAGCCTGGGGGCCCCCAATGCTGGGGCGGAGGACAGAGCCTCAGGGGCTGGACCCAAGCAAGCCAAGGGCCACATGTGGCCGCCAGGCCTGTGGTTCTCCACCCCTGCCCGAGACAATCGGCCTTCTGGAGCGCGCTGGTGCCGTAGGGCTGCTGTGTAAATGAGGGCCAGGGGTGGCTGTAGCTGAAAAAGCTACATTGGTTGCTGGGAGGGGAAACATTGTTTTTCAAAGCGGAGAGGGCTACACTGAAGCCAGGCTGCCACAGCCGTAATGCAGCTGAAACCCGCCCGGCCGGCCCCAGGGTTGGAGCTCTGTCGGCAACGCTGAGAGGAGCAGCGTGGGGGTTTGCGCCCACGGGGGCTCCTCTCCGGAGGGGGGTGTTCTTTGAGGCAGTCAGCTCGTCAGTGCAGACGTGGGTGCGGGGCACGCCCCCGTTTTCTGCGGGGAGGGCCTGGTGTCAGGCGGCACGGCCGCTCCCACAGAACACCCTCCGAGCGTTGCTGGATACATAGTGCCCTGTGGGTGCGATACCCAGGGCCTGCGCCCCTCGGCTCTGCACCGGGGCAAGCGGCCCAGGTTAGGGTTCACCCGTCGTGGCAAGTCCACCGTCCCTCCAGGCTCCGGCTCGAGGGCGTCTCCGTTGCAGTGCCATAAGCCCGGTTTTGCACAGATGCAGCGAACACGCATGTTGTTGCCCTGCCCGGTGGGCTGTGCCCAGCTGCTAATTAACACACGGGGTCCCGCGCTGGCTGCTGAGGGCTAAGGAGCAAGGCTCGGAAAGCTGCACCAGCTCCTCGGAGGCTGTAGGAAGAGGAAGGCCTGAAATGCAAGCGCATGTCGCACAGGCTTGGTGTGGGGCCTGAGGCCTAGCTGTCAAGCGGCGCGTGTGCGAGGCTCGGGGCAGACACCTCGCTGTGCTCCCTTGCCGGCTGAGGTCACGGGCGAGCCCCTAGGTCAGGGCTCAGCCTGGGGTCTGTATTAAGCTGGGGTGTGAATGGACACACACACACTCTCTCTCTCTCTCTCCACACCCCTCCCCCCCCACTGGTGCGATCTCCCGCAAAACTGGCCGCTCTTGCGCAAAAACTTGCTGCCTGTCTACACCGGCCGTGTGTTCTTGCACAAGTAAACTGATATTCTAATGTATAAAATCAGGGCTTCTTGCGCCAGAACTCTGACGCTCCCGCTCGGTAATAAGCCCTTTTGCACAAGAGCTCTTCCAGAGGAGGCCAGTAGAGACAGGCAACATGAATTTCTTGCACAAGAGAACCCCTTTGGTTAAAATGGCCATCAGAGCTTTCTTGTGCGAGAGAGCGTCCACACGGCCATGGCTGCTCTTGCACAAAAGCACATGGCAGTGCAGACGCTCTCTTGTGGAAGAGTTTTTGCACAAGAAGCTGCCAGTGTAGATGCAGCCACAGAGACAGAGAGAGGTTTGGGGGAGGGACTCATCCCTGCTGTTGCTAGTTAGTAACCGTCACTTTGTGTGAGGGCAGAACCGCAACCCTTTGTCCAGGGTAGGTCGGGGGTGTGCAGCGGGCTGCCCTGGCAGGGCCGAGAGTGACACTCTGGCGTGGGGCTGGGCCTGCCGGCGGGAGTGCTGCTCAGCCTGGGACAGGCGGCGCGGATGTTAAAATGCGCGTAAGCATGTAACCGTGGAGCTAGTGAAAACATCCGTGGTTCCACATGGGCCGGCAGGCGGCTCCCCGGGAGCCAGCTTTTAAGCCAGCTCCCCGTGCGTAGCGGGAGCCTGCGTGGAACCATGAAGGTTAACCCGTGAACCCAGTCGCACGGGTTAACTGTGCGCCCGGTTCCACGCTCGCAGCCCTAGGGGGTGGGGTCTGTGACGTTGAAGGCCTACCCGGTTGCTCTGAACTCAAGCTGGTTGTGAGTAGGGATGTGAGCGACTAGTGATAAGCATCTGCTTGCCAGGTACTCAAGTAGGAACTTGACCAGTTGCTTCTCCCCCCCACTGCCTCTATCAGAGAGGGACAGCAAGGGGGGAGCAGGAGCTGGTGCGAGCTGGTTTGAAAGCCGGTCCCCCATCATTGTCTCTGGGGGGCAAAAGATGCAGAGGTGCAGTGAGGGACCTAGGAGAGCTGGGAATCAGCTGATTCCTAGCTCTTGTCTGGTCCCCCAGCTACACCTCTGCCTTTTACACGTCTGAATACACATAAAGGGCAGAGCCGCAGTGGGGTTGGCTCCCAGGGCTGGGCGCTCGCCCTGCTGCGGCTCTGCAGTTTCCCCCTCATCGACCGATGGAGCAGTGGTTGGAAATTCCATCGACTACTCGACGAGCTGATTCAACAAAATGTAACAATATAAGAACTAGGGGCCAGCAAATGAAATTAGTGGGCAGCCAATTTAAAACAAAGAAAAGGAAGTTTTTCTTCACACAGCGCACAGTCAACCTGTGGAACTCCTTGCCTGAGGAATAGTGATAGAGATGTAGCCGTGTTAGTCTGGGGTAGCTGAAGCAAAATGCAGGACAATGTAGCACTTTAAAGACTAACAAGATGGTTTATTAGATGATGAGCTTTCGTGGGCCAGACCCACTTCCTCAGATCAAATAGTGGAAGAAAATAGTCACAACCATATATACCAAAGGATACAATTAAAAAAAAGAACAAATATGAAAAGGACAAATCACATTGCAGAACAGAAGGGAGATGCGGGGTGGGGGAGGGGGAGGAAGGAAGGTAAGTGTCTGTGAATTGATGATATTAGAGGTAGGGAGAGTGGGATGTTTGTGAGTTAATGGTATTACAGGTGATAATTGGGGAAACTGTCTTGATAATGGGTGAGAAAGTTCAAAGACTTGTTAAGTCCCTGGTGGTAAGTGTCGAATTTTAACATGAATGACAGTTCAGAGGATTCCCTTTCAAGTGCAGATGTAAAAGGTCTTTGTAGCAGAATGCAGGTGGCTAAGTCATTTAGAGAGTGTCCTTTCTGGTTAAAGTGGCAAGAAACTGTTTTCTCTTTGTGATCTTGTCTGATATCTGTTTTGTGGGCATTAATCCTTTGGCGAAGTGTCTGAGATGTTTGTCCAATGTACATAGCAGACGGACACTTTCGGCACATGATAGCGTAGATTATATTTCTGGATGCGCAGGAATATGTGTTCTTGATCTTATAACTCACTTGGTTAGGTCCAATAATGGTATCAGCAGAATGAATATGTGGACAAAGCTGGCAACGGGGTTTGTTGCAAGGGAAGGTACCAGGGTTGGTATTAGTGTGGTATGTCCTGTGGTGGTTGGTAAGAATCATCTTGAGGTTAGGTGGTTGTCTATAGGAGACTATGGGTCTGTCTCCCAGAGCCTCTTTGAGTATGGTATCCTGTTCCAATATAGGCTGTAGTTTATTGATAATGTGTTGGACAGGTTTAAGTTGGGGGTTGTAGGTGATGACAAGTGGTGTTCTATTGTTGGTTTTCTTGGGTCTGTCTTGAAGTAGATGGTTTCTAGGTATTCGTCTGGCTCTTTCAATTTGCTTTTTTGTTTCTCTGGGTGGGTAGTTGAGATTTATAAATGCTTGGTAGAGATCCTGAAGCTTCTGGTCTCTGTCAGTGGGGTTAGAGCAGATGCGGTTGTATCGAAGGGCTTGGCTATAGACGATGGATCGTGTGGTGTGTTCTGGATGGGAGCTGGATGCATGTAGGTAACTGTATGAGTCAGTGGGTTTTCTGTAGAGAGTGGTGTCTAATTTTCCATTGTTGATTTGTACGGTGGTGTCCAGGAAGTGGATCTCTCGTGTAGAATGGTCCAGGCTGAGGTTGATGGTGGGGTGTAGGTTGTTGAAATCTCTGTGGAATATCTCCAGTGTTTCTTGGCCATGTGTCCAGATCATAAAGATGTCATCGATGTACCGTAGGTAGAGGAGGGGTGAAAGGGGACGGGAGTTGAGGAAACGTTGTTCTAGGTCAGCCATAAAGATGTTAGCATACTGTGGGGCCATGCGTGTACCCATGGCTGTGCCGCTGATCTGGAGGTATAAGTTGTTCTCAAACCGGAAATAATTGTGGGTGAGAACAAAGTTACATAGGTCTGCTATCAGGTTGGCAGTAGTGTCCTCTGGGATAGTGTTTCTAATTGCTTGTAATCCGTCTTCATGTAGATCGCTTGATCAGTCCCTGTTCTGTTCACTCCCTCGGGGCACTTGGTGCTGGCCACTGTCGGCAGACAGGATACTGGGCTGGAGGGACCTTTAGTCTGACCCAGTCTGGCCGGTCTTACATTACGTTCCTAACATCCCCAGCTGTGAGGGGCACGGCTTGGACCGAAGTCGTGGTGTAACGTTTGTCCTGTGGTGCCACGTGTGCGGTGCCGTGCGGACACGTGCGCCAGTCCCTGCATGTTTTCCCCCTTCTGCAGGCGTGGGGCGAGCCCTGAGCACGGCGTACTGCCGGCTCTGCCACGGGAAGTTCTCCTCCCGGAGCCTGCGCAACGCTTTTGGGAAGGTCCCGGTCACGGGGGCGAACTCGGAGAAGCAGCGCCGGGTGGATCAAGTGTTCTTCACGGATTTCCAGCGGCTGGTGGGGGTGGCGGTGCAGCAAGACCCCGCGCTCCCGCAGTACGTCTGCAAGAAGTGCCACGCCCAGTTCTACAAATGCCGCAGCATCCTCAAGTCCTTCATCCAGCGGGTGAACGCCTCCCCCACGGGCCAGAGAAAGCCCAAAGGAAAGTACGTGCGGGGCGCCCGTCCCTCTGGCGGGGCGCACGCTGAGCGGGCTGGGCCGCGGCGGCCGTTTCCTGGGGGAATTTCTGGGCACTGAGCTCCGGGGCGGGAGGTATTTTTAGCTGCTGAAACCAGCTAGTGGCTGACTCGGTTTTCTCCGCAGACAGCGGTGACCCTTTTGCCAGCTCCTGCCTCTTTGAGGCATTTCGTGTTGCGGCCCTGGCGCTGGCTGCTGTGAGGTTCCTGGGTTTCTGTCTCTCTGGGAGTGCTTTTGTTTGCATGCAGGAGCAGTGATGGGCAGCCCCCGTCGGCCCCGGAAGCCCCCTGTTTGGGTAAGCGCCGCACTGAACGATACGACATTGTGTGCTGGCCTGGGGTTGGGCTTTTCCACTGGACGCCACTCCAGGGCGGTGGAGCCTTCCCAGAAGGGAGGCGGGATGGGAGCGCCTGTCCCCAGCCGCGCGGGAGCTGGGCCGGGGAGACGAAAGTCAGGCACACGGAGAGCTGAGTGTTTGGTCACTTTCCTGGGCCTGCCCCCAAGTCCCTGGAGGCCGGCGGGGCAGCAGAAAGCAGCCCTGCGTCATTCCTGGCTCCTCCGGCTCCGTTTCTAACCCGGTCCCTTAAAACGGCCCAGTAGATCTGTTCTTTTCAGAGGCACTTTCGGGTCCCCTGCTTCCCTGAGCTCCCCCTTCCCTTAGTGCCGCCCTGTTGTTTGGGACTCTGGCTCCGGGCACAGGCCCGGCGATGGGGCCGGCCGGGTCCTGCCACCCGGCTTATCGTTTCATGCTCTTCTTTCCCCCGCGCCCAGTGGACCCGATCACCGCCAGCCCCCACTGCCTGCACGGCTTGGTGACGTGGACCCACAGCCA